CTCTGTCTAATGCTATACGATTTTACTCATCAAGGGGAGACCTCTGGCACTTAGTGGGTTAACTGGCCTATCTGCCCATGATGTATCTACTTAACCCATTGAGTCACATTGTACCCTACTTTATTATTTTCTATCTAATGCCAGGTGATTTTAGTTGTCAAGGAGAGAGTTCGGGGTTAACATTTAACTTCCACAGGCAACTCTGTATTTTTTTTTGTATAATAGGCAACTCTGTATTGTTTTGTAATAATACAAAATGCATTTACAATACAAAACAAATAAGAGTTGAAAATCTGTTATACAAAACAATACAGAGTTGCCTGCAGAGGAGGCAAAAATAGAATATGATTTATAACAGCAGATAACATTGAATTGTAGAAATCGAAGAAAAATATAACATTCAAACAATTGATGTAAACAGTGTATTTTTCAGTCTTTTCAATATATCTACATTTATCAAATGTTCATATTTTACCATTATTTGTCTGACACTCCAGGGCTTAACACTGATACATGCAGGATAATGTATGCTGAAAAAACTGGAGGTAAACAGTTGGGAGCTGGAAAAATTCTTCAGGCGGGCCTTTACATGCAGCTGATGTAGAATCCAATGGCTTATTATTACCTACATTACAGGAAACAAAAACCTGAATCTATAGATTCACCTCTGACACTTTGGCCTATACCCTCACTTCTACCTCCAGGGGAAGTGAAATTGTCACACTCACACATTATTAGTTCCTTCTATGGTGCATATGGCTCAATAATTTTAACAGTGTCAGTGAAAATGTCCAATGTTTATTCAACCATTAATTCACCCTCAACCCATTCATGTACAGGCTGAAGTTATCTGGTATGCCTATATGCACATGGGGAAAATTATTTTGAGTACAAAAATAAAAGGTTGACCAACAATCTTGCTAGCATTTTTAATCAAACCACCTAGGGGTGAAGACCTTGGAACTTAAAAGGGACATAAAAATCCATTTCAAAGGAATGTTGTCACCCAAATATTTGGCTTAAAAACTGTATTATGCATTTCCAGGGAGCTGGTTGCAAAAATCTCTTGGAAAATATTTCCAGGGGAG